ACGCAGATGGCTGCCTTGGCTTCAGCCACGGAGAAGGAGGGTAAGGAGGAGGAGGTGGAGGAAGACGAGGAGTAGGAATAGGAGGAGGAGAAGAGGGAGGAGAATGGCGTGGTGCTGCTCCTGAATGTGTCCACACGCAGATTGAGCATCAAACCTCGTCTGTGCAAATATAAGTGCCGACGCAAGGGTTGTGTTGGGGTACGTTCGTGATTAGGTGATGATACTGTGAATGCTGGGAATCTGCACTCTGTCAAGCCTCTCATCCAACATCCACAGTCCTTCCTTCTCACGAGCATCTCTCTCTCTCTCTCTCTCTCTCTGTTCTGCCAAGGCAATGGCTCTTACCACTTACATCACTTGCAGTTGCAGTGACGGTGGTTGTGTGTGTGTGCTGTGTTGTGGATTGGGTGAGATGGGATGCAGCATCACAACTCTCACATCAGCCTTGACAACAATGCACGCCTTACTTCTTCACCTCCGCGGACTACACTGCCATTCCCTCAAACTCATCTTTATTTCATTCAACATGCTGCGCCATTAACTGGTCAATTGAATGGTGCAGCTGGCATTCGGTAAGAGAACCTCTTCAATGAAATCCACTTCGTCAATCAGCTATCCGCATTTGACGATCCTGTCACCTCATCTCCATCTGGCTGCTACTTGTCGTTGCGTGCGAATCTGTGAAGGCCTTCACGATCTACTGTTAGGAAAATGAACTCGTGGAAGTTACATGATTGGGGGTGTTAATGCAGGACTTGCAGACTCCTCCGGCCGTGGGCGTTACATACATCATTTCCAGGCATTGTTTCTGTAATGAGGAGAGAAACGTGGATGATTTTGACGTTTGAGAATGGAGGAGAATGTGTGCATCTGATAACTGCGTCTCAGTGACATCGGATCATTCGATTTGACCACTCGCCTCGTCACAGGACTGTTGTATTTCATATGTCGACCTACTTCAAGGCAACCATGATGATGACGATAAGGAGTAATAGGAGTAAGAGGAGGAGAGATAGTGGCAGAACGTGTCACTGAATATCTTCTCATGCAGCACTTGAGGTGTGTACCATCTGAGGCACGTGTCTGCTTAGAAGATGTCGGTGGATGAGGAAAAGAAGGCAATTTGTGTGGTGTTTGCGTCGAGGTGGAGGTGGTATTGGGCAAGTGGGTACGTCTTCTAAGGTACCGCCGACGGTGATGGTAGTGACGGCTATGATCGCCTCGACAATCCAAAGTGGCATTCTGCAATGCAAGAAGTCGGCACGGTTTCAATTCACCCTGCAATTCCTCATTGCAAGAACGACGCTGTTGTTTCACATTTTCCAAGTGCCAACACAGCGGATCAGCACTGCCTTGAGAATTGTCGCTCATTGTAGCTGTGTCCCAAATATCGACGATGGTCTGTTTTGATGTGTGCGGTGCATGTAATCGCCTTTGGGTTGAGTTTGGCGGCGAAAACGCAGTTTGAACTGTCTGACTTTGTCTAGTGATGTGACTTGTGTATTGAGTTGACTTGTCATGTCTCGGAGGGTCGGTTTGCATTACTCTAGCCACTCTAACCCCTTCTCTGCCTCCAATCATTGCATCAGATGTCGAAGTGGAAACGTGGCGAACTTGTGGATCGCTTTTGTTTGTGGTCTGTTGGATGCGAAGTGGTCGTGTATGACAAAAGCAGACTGTTTCGTATGTCTCATGGGGAGATTTATACAGGCTCACGTAAGGTGAATCAGGCGCCGTGCTTCTCAAAGGTGGTGCATTTTCTTCTTCACGCCTCATACCATCTGATCGAATGCTGCACTGAATCCCTCTTGACATTGATGATGACACGAAAGTCCCATCACTCTGTGCATAACTCAGCGGCAGCTGCCTTACTATTACCTTTTGATGGGAAATAGTACAGTTGAGTGCGTCGCTACGTTTGACTTCAGGCTGCGTTTTCCAGTTCTCATCACCAGAGACACAGGCAATGCATTGAATGGTTTTCAGCTCTTCGGATACCACCGTTTCAATATCGCCAACACTTCCTGGCCTTTCGGCGTCGCCCAAACCGCCATCATATTCACTGTCTTTTGCACACGAAAGAAGTTTAATGGCAGTGCTGCCTAATTTGCGAGGCAACTTTGATGAAGTAGGGGTTCCTTCCTCCTCGGGCAATTTTGGCGAGGAAGCAGTGGAAGCACACTTTTCAGTGAGCTCTTCACTATCCATATGCTGAACTACAGCCAACAACTTTATCCTCGATGAAACATCGCGTCTATCAAAGTTAATGGATGAAGTTGGTGATACATTCAAGTGAAGGGAAGAATTGTACGATCTCTGGAACTCTAGAGTCACCTCCTTGTTCATTGGGCTCGACGCCTCTTCCCTTAATGTTTCCTTCAGCTCGGGCTCACTTTTGGCCTTCGTTACACTTTTGGACCTGAGTATTTTCCTTATAGGTGTAAGTGCAGCAGCAATGGGGGCGTGAGACACCTTCCCATCAGACCTTCCTTTTGTTGGTCGGTGATGAAAAGATATAATGGGAGTGGGTGATTGTACCACCGGTCGGCAGGTCACCGGTCGTGCAACGAACATATTTCGACGACATTTGTACTTGAAAACGAGGGCTGGAGGTTCTTCCATAATCCCTTATTAGACCGAGAGCTTTTAACTGATCATGAGTTGCTTTACTCTCGTGCCAGTCTACTGCCATAATGAAATGGAATTGGCCATCACTAATCCAATTACAATTTGCACATCGATCGATCGCGTTAGGCGAGCAAATCAGTTATTCCATCGTTGATTGGCTACGCACGGCCGGGTTTTCTAGTTATCACAAGGTCTAACTTCGAAATCAAACATTTTGAAAAACACAACAGATTTAAATAGATCACCTAAAATTACGCTCAACAAAACGCAAAATTCGAATAAAAATTTCAAAGGGAAGATATATTATTTTCAAATGATTATGACTTGTGGCTGTACCGCTTTGTTTATGTGACTGCGTAATATTAGGCGATCGCTTTAGGGTTTGTCTGGCTCTTGTACTCGTGGGCTGTTCTTCGGACCATTCTGGGGTTCGAATGCATGTTTGAAGCCACACTTACTGCCTTCTTTCACCCTATGGGAAGTCTCGGGACGCTACATTGGTGGCAGTTGAGAATCAACCGATTATTTTCCAATGACCTCTATCCTAGCAAGTACCGTTTGTTGCATGTACCCACGATGTGGAGGTGCATTTACCGTGGTGACTAAGAATCTCTAAATCCCTCACAACGAAAAGGTCGAGACCGGCATCTGCATTTAGCTTCACCTTATCCCTGTGTTCCACAGACAAGGTATTAGCAACTGAAGCGGCACCGCCCTAAACCATCTAGAAAAGTTTTTTGTCGGAAATTCTCATAAAAAGTCCGTGTTTAGGTGTCGCAGGTGACACTACGGTTCCTTTCGTATGCGGGACCGTGGCTCATCCCTTTTTTCTTGTTAAATATCTGTTTTAGACCAGAGTCCTGGAAGCAATGATGGTCAACAGATGTATGCGGTCAGACCGAACGTAAATCCAGATGCAGTTGAAGCTGTCGAGGAGACCAAGTACGGCTTCTCAGCCTCATGCTATCTGTCGACTGGCGCGGTTGGTTCTTGGGTGCTTTCTTGTAGTACCGAATATGTTATGATGGCTGGTGCGGGAGGTGTACCAAGGGGAGCGCCGAGGACGTTGCTCAGAAGAAGAGGATCAGTGTAGTGTATTGTTTATGTTCGGCAGTCACTTTAGGATTTGTCTGGCCCTTTTACTCGTGGGCTGGCCTCCGGGCCATGCTCAGGTCCATTTGCCCTGCTGTCTTCGGAATACATGTATTCAGGCGCACTTACTGCCTTCCTCCACCCTGTGGAAAGTCTCGGGACACTACAGAGACCGCGTAAGTTTGCCCCTTCCGATTGAGTGTCATCTGGGTACCGTGGTAGTCTCAACCCTTCTACTCATCGGAAATGTATAGCATTTCCGAGTATAATAACTTCTGTCCCAAAATATCCTCGAAAGAACTCTTTCAGCACATGCGATACGACCCTGATCTGGTGTTTCCAACTAGATGCGGAAAATGACTAAAAGTTAGCAACTAGAGCGGGTCAAATGAAAGACTTTGGCGGCATTTGACTTCAAGAGTCCGTTGCGTCAATTGTCTCATGATGTGCAGCAGCCACCCCAAGACAGGAGAATTATGGATATTCATATTCCTCTATTGTCACTTATTTCTGCAACATTCAAGTGGCATGAAGCTCACATGCTTCATGAGCTTCGAATGTCTATCAGAAAGAGTCAAGGTTCTTCAATTTGCAAATTGTAAGCTAAAATCGCCTCTAAAGAAACAAGCATTGAATTCCCACGGTAGGACTTGTGTAAGTAACTAAATGCTCATATCAGGTTGGAGGAAGCACGTTTTGTATATTCTTTTGAAACCAAAGACTATTGTACCGGTCTCGTCTTTGCCATATGACGAGTTCAAGAAACCAACATCTTATTAAAAAGAGATTATTTTTTTGTTTATAGGATACGTCCTCTTCTTCCCACCAAATGTTGGATCCAACCTCCAAGCGCCTTGTTCACATTGGAATCCCAATCAGTAGGCACATTGTTGGGAATTTGCTGAGCAGATTAGCCTACAGGTTCTATTGTCCAACTTATTTCACTAAATCCACTCTAAATAAACTCATCAAGCATTAATGGGGTTGAGAGGAATGCATTCATGCAACTACAAAGACCCAGAGGTTGTCACCTTTGTCCGCTGATTGGGAATGGAATGCTTGAATGCATTCGACGTGACGGCTGAAGCAACGCCTACCGCAACCGAACACTCATTCTTGCAGGTACAAGTGTTGCATGACAACCTTCATGGACAATTCTCCGACTCCCTTCCCCCCGATGTATTAATTCACCTCTTCTCATAGTGGAAGGATCACCAGAAAATTAACGCTATTCAAGCCTTTGTGACCAGCAAAACAGGGCCATAACTACAAAAAAGCAATCGCTATCAAAGTTGGCCAAAAGCAAGTGAAAAAACGAGTCTATAGAGATTTTGGCTTTATTCCTCAGATGCAGGACTCCTTAGTTTGGATTTACTAAAACGCAAGAAAAAGTTTGGTAGGATGATTATTTGGACCAAAGAACAAAGAGCCAGTTTAGAATATCATGTTGAGTCGTTGATAGGATGAAAATTTTTGTTGTTTATTACCAACCGCTCAAGTCATTAAGCTGACACTGATCGAGGTGTTATTGCCTATTTTGGTGCGAGCTTCCCTACAAAGCGTAATCACTTCTGATTTTCGTGGTGTAGATGACCTTCGTTAGAGGTGATCAACTCTTCAGAAGCATTGAAAGTCCGGGAAATCCCTTCAGACATTGCCTAGAACCTTAGAAACCAGAATACACACACTGTCAAACAAAAGTGCGGAATAAAATCACCGGTCAGGAGGGGAAATTACATACTCAAGGAAGGGAGCGATCGGATACGCCTGTAGCGATCCCGATCTATTTTCTAGAGGGGACAAACATTTTAAAGGCAAACAATGCCGTTTGGACAAAATGGAACCATTCGCGTCGGCACCAGGAACGATGAAGGGAGGAAAAAACCTCGATAACCTCAATTGCACAACTAATAGATTTTGTGAAAATTAATACGTGTTGCATCCTTTCGATTGATTTGCCAATCTCCGTTGCAAAAGATTGCAGAGTCGTGTTAAGATACTACTTAATTCGCCCAAGCTTAATTACATAACATTAATAATCAATAATCAATAATTTTGCCATCAAGTGAACATTTAAACAACGATCCATCGAATGCATCATTAAGGCGGATTTTTAACCGTAAATCTTATTTACTTTATTTAATAAAATGATTGAAACAAAGCTCCTTCTAAATTCAATCACCTACCTGAAACTTTGACGAAATTGTCCGGTCTGGACATTCAAGGTGTAATTTTGCGACTGGATTAGCAGTGGAATGGAGGATCTCACCTCTACTCTTTTGATGGCTTTTGGTAGCGGTAGGCCTTTGAGTCAGCTTCGCGCAACTTTAACCACTTATACGTTATGCGAGATAGTTGTAGACGCATGACTTATTCACAAAAAATACAGTAATTACACTCAATGGAAGTTTATTCGATTCTCTAGTCATAAATTTACACTATTTCATGACGCGACACTCAAACTAGATGAAGGAGTGAAAGTGAGTGTGAGCGATCAGATCGACAAAAAAACGTGGAAAAGAGACACCGAGTACAAGAATGTTCAAACAATGTTGTCCTCCGTCGGCTCACCCCAATGCGAGGAGGCAGTTGGGGGCGATGATTGCGGCGGCAACGATGATGAAGATGCTGGGGTGGAGGATGGTGGTGGAGGGGGTTGAATGAGCACCGGAAAACGTGTGAGACCCCCTCCGCCTCGTCCCAAGCCTGTGTGGTGATTGTGATGCGATGAATGGCAGATCTGCTGTTGAAGTTGATAATACTGGTGCTGATGTTGATGATGGAGGTGGCGATAATGCTGATACGCCTTCCTCCATGACGGCAACAGACGACCACGTTGGGAGTTGTGCAGTGGTTGTTGAGGTTGTTGTTGATTAATACCACGCTGAAAGAGTTGGGAGGAAAGGAAACTAGGTATGGAAAATGTAGTTTAAAATACATTTTAAAGCAGTCTTTCTGTTCCTCTAACGCCCACGTGTCGTAAAACAAACTTTATTTGGTAACAAGTAATGAGCATGAATCTGAAAATGTGACCTCCAACATTAGTTGAGAAGTATTTTAACCACTTTAATTATCTTGCTACAAGGAGAAATTCAAACATCTCAACGCATAGAGTGGAGTAAAGAAAAAAAATTGAAGAACGCACCTTAGAGGAGAAGAAAAGGAATTGATGTTCCAGCTCTTCGGCGCACATGACTTCATCCATACCGGGTCCAAGAATAAGAGTGCCGATCCAGGCTCCACCAGTAGCTGCGCCAGAATCGCAGCCCGGTACAGATGCAAGTTCAGGCTCGCCTAGGCCAGAGGGAGTCTCTTTCCCGCCTTCGCAATCATCAAGCACCTCAGATCCTGCCATCCCTCCCCCTGCCAATGCCGCTGCTGGTCCAGGCACAACAGAATCAGCCAACGACTAAAAGGTGAGATGAGAGAACACTTAGTCGAAGTGGATGACCCTACACGTCAAGAGTGAACAGAGGAGTTTCCGATATTGCAACGGCTTCAGAGCTAGAGACAAAAAAAACCTTAAAAGATAATGCAGTTTAGTTTTAAGCCTTTGAAGTTCCTTCAGATGGTCAAAGTGCTGCAGAATACATATTTAGTAGAAATGAACCTCTTGCAATTAGGATCAAATACATTAGGGACAAGCTCAAATCACACCTGCGTTGAATGGAGCATCAAAATGCGACTACTTAGCGGTAGACGTTTGTGCTGTTCCATGTAACTAATGAGAAGTAGTAGAAAAGACCATCGAAATGTGCATTTTTGAATCAAAACAATTTTTGCTAAGAAGGCTTTGTTTCCTCTGGAGAGGATTAATTCTAAAAGCTAGAAGCTTACTGAGGACTCAGCGCAGCTAGAACTTGGTCTGTCATTGCTAACATAACCATGATCAGTTGTTGTGGCAGCAGACGATGAAACAGTGGTGATTTGATCGTCAGGAGTTGAAGCCTCAGCTGCTGCACCAACAGTAACGGCATCACCGGTGGAAGTGTCATTTGTGACACGGTAGGGGCTGACAGCAGTCGGATCAGTAACAAACTCAGCCAAGGGCAGAGTTTTCGGTTCCTCTGGAACTTGTTCCAGCTCTTCAGTTGAAAAGGCATTGCTCTTTACAAACACGCCTACGCCTTCAATTATAATTGCTGCAGCAGAGGGAGCAAACGGGGATGGTGGAGGGGCAAAGCAACGTGGTGGACCACGCTCTGACTCAGTGTCGGTACCAACGCTGCTACCTCCACACGCGGAACTGCTATGATCATCAGCTCCACTGGCAGCTGAGGAAGCACTGGCAGCTTTAACTAAGAGAGCCACTGCACCTGCTGTGGGGGGCGGTTTGTCCTTATCGGTGCCACTTTCAGGCGGCCTCTCACAACAGCACACCTTTTCATTCTAAAATAGTTAAATAACCTTCAGTATGTTATTTTGTTGGTTTGACAACTCGAAGCTAACCTACTCACAGAATGATTTCGACTACATGCAGATTGATTCGAGGCATCACCATCCGTTCCCCCTCCTACGCCATCGCCTACGAGTAGACCAGTGGAGACACACTCGCCAGCGTTCCCCGCAGCTGCAGCTGAGGCATTTTGACGTGCTCGGTTTGCAGCTTGATGACGAAGACAGTAAACACCGAGAAGAAGGACAATAAATACAGCTAAGACAGCTCCAGCCACCGGTCCCACTGGAGAGTTTGTCCATGCCAAAAGTCCGGCGCCCACTCCCAACTCAGTTTCACTTCTTTCACTCCCGCTCATGTAGTGTCGTGCTAATACATATGGAGAAGCGTAGAAGTCTTCACCTCCTCCGTGCTGCAATAAGTGTTGTTGTTGCTGTTGCTGCTGCTGCTGCTGTTGGTGATAGTAGTGGTAGTAATAGTAGTAGTGGTAGAAGTGGGCCGCTGCTGTTGCTTGGGAATCACTTTTCGGAAGGAGGAGATTTCGGTAATGGTAGTAACCGTTCGGCGGTGCAATCGGTGCTCCTAGTGGAGGTAGCTGTGGTGGTGGGGGTAGCAGTGGAGGCGGCGGAAGTGGTGGTACAAAAGCCCACTTATCCTCCAGGAAACCAAGAGGAGCTATGAAGTAAGAGTCAACTTGTCATTAGCGGTAGAAAAATATTCTCAAAATGACAAATAACTCACGAGCACCACTGCTAGTAGCGAAAGCAGCATTGGATGAGGAGGAGGTGAGAGAACTATAGGGTGAAGCACCACCAATGACACCACCAAAACAAACACCCATGGGAGCGCAGAAGCCTCCACTCGACAAGGGTTCCGAATCTGCACCGAGAAGGCAAAACTCACAGCCAATGCTGGCGGTGCACTCGGTGGAGTGGTTACCGAGGGCAGCGCAGTTAGTGGGACCAAGGGCGGGCACCAGGGGACCGCCATTTGTTACAATAGCAGATTCAGTTTTCGATGAGGAGGCTTCACCGGAGGTGGCGGAAGAAGTGGGGGTAGGGAGAAGAATGTTGAGCCATTCGTTAAGTGAGGCAACAGGAACGCGTACAGAGAGGGAGTTTGAGGGTTGACAGAGAGGAGGTGCATCAGGAAGTCTTGCCAACGCCTTCCACGATGCAGCCGCAGCCGCTTTGGTTGTCGGTAGAAGAGGTACCTCAAGCTGCGTAGTATATTAACGATCTTAGATCAAGCCTGTAAAATCTTTGATGTCTAAACTCAACGGATTTTCAAGAAATCTCAAGTACAGATGCAATAAATTTGATTCGCTTTGGTTAGAAGCAATGGCCTTTCTGCATAAAGTGAAGCAAATGTACACTAATCTTTGGACTATTATTTGTCACTGTTCAACGTCAAGAGAAAAGATATATACTTAAGATATTTGTGATGCAAGCTAGCCCTATTCGTATTAAAATGGTGTGGTTGAAACTTTTTTGTGAACAAGAGAAAGGAAACGAGATTTAAGCACAATTTCGGCGCAAGAATTGATGATACAACCAAAAACCGAACTAACCATCACCTGCGGAGAGCACTGTCTGAGCGATAAGTCACAGGAGCTTACCGAGAGCGCAAAACATGCAGGATGGTTTTCAAGAGAGGAGGCGGCAGCAGAGGAGGAGGAGGAGGCGGAGGAAGGGTTGGTAAATGGAGGACCAGCAACAGTACCGAGGGGACATTGGCAGGGACACTCACATTCGAGAGGCTCCAGGCGACCGCAATTGAGACAACGGCGATCCTTGGTAGAGCAGGCACAGAAGGCAGCGCGTGGACTACACGAGACGCCACCACCAGTGGTGGTGGTCGTCGTAGTGGCTTCACCACTGCGTCGGATCCGCTGGTGCGATTGTGATTTCTCGTGCACCAACCCCAAGAATAGATTGGTACCAGGAACGAGGGCAAACTGCAAGCGAAATGCTGATTTCAATTTGCTTGTGTAAGGGCCAACTAATTTGAATGCAAAAAAATGGAGAGAAAAGATAAAACTGTCAAAATTTAGTAGTTTCAGGTCACCTCATAGCGAGTGCAGTGTTCTCCAGGAGCAGAGTTAGTAACGATCCCCTCATACGAAGTGTTGTACGTATAGTAGCGCTCGAGAGCACGCTGTGAGTGCAAAACACAGGCCATCTTCCGTACAAATCCTCCATGATTCAGTAGATCCGCAGCAACTAAGGGTTCTCTGACAAATTGTATATAAGTGATTTGACACGTTTGAGATAGATGGATAAAACGTGAATAAGGTGTCACTCACCGATGGCTGATATGACTGCTTTCAAGTGCTCGATTGACCTGCAGAGGCTCTGCGTAACCAGGATGTGCAATGAGGTAGCCTCGATCATTCATGAGGAGACACTTTGTAGAAGTCTTTTCCTTTACAACCTCCAATTCATTTACCTCCTCTATCTCCACTTCACTCTCTTCCTTTACTTCCATTTCGTCTCCTTCTGTGTCCACCACTGAGGGGTTTATCGGCACTCCAGAGTTGCGGAAGAAGTCTAAAAGCGCCCAGGAGACCTCCTTCCGGGGACTACTGATTGGAGAGATTTGCACACCAGCGGTCTTAGAGGCGGCGTCCTTCCGTTTCGTCTTAGTGTTTTTGACTTTTGTCTTCTCCTTCAAGATTGATTTGTTATGAAAGTACGGTGGATCGAAATTGCAGAGGCTGGGAAGCCATATGGACAGGAGATGGTTGAAGAGACGATACGGAACATCCATTGCCATCACTGATTGTACACGATCGGTGTTGGGACTGTGAATGCCACTTCGACTGAAAACGAGGCAAAAATACAATAACTAAATCTCTATCGTTTTAACATCCTTGTTGCTAGAAGGATGGAATAATTAAAATGGGAAAAAAAAACAAGGAGTTCAAGCACTTAATGAAAGATAAACTAATTTGAATGGTAGGAGAAGAGGAGACTAGAACCTACTTGCCCTCAAAGATAGCGAAGGCAATGGTGACAATGTGTCCAGCGCCTCCATGATCCAAATAGGGCTCGGTAAAAACGATACGTCCGGCGTTCTCCACGGCTCGCAGGTACCAAGGCCGTGTGGTTGCATCGAAGCTCTGAGGCATTAAAGTGCCTGGGTACATCAACATCACACCCGTGTCCGTCGAAACGTAACTGGCCATTGAGGAGGGGAGAACAAAGAGATCGTCTCATAGCAAGAAAGATAACCCAGAAAAAATACTCTGTCCACTGCATGCAAAAGCGCAATAGGAAGTTGTTTGCCAAAAGTTATTGTCCTACTGAGATTTGAGAAAGTAAAACTCATAAAAATGCCGATATGGAGACAGTGTAGAAGTTTGGCTTAGCGCCAAAAAAGCAAACAAATCCATCCGATGCATAATTTATCCAGAGCCAAAAAAAAGCGTAAAGTGATAACAAAGAAAAATTGCTCGAAGACACTATGTTGCTTATTGGGAGAGAGGAAACCGTCTACATATTTGAGTAGAAATCTCAGTCTTTGAAAATGATGTACTAAAAAATAAATTGAAATAAGCGCATAAACAACAGCATGGTGTCCAAATGAATCATGACTATGGAAGACCTATGTACCGTCGAATTATGTGTTTGCCAACAGCACTGGCAGCAGCACCACGTTGACGCCAAAATTTTCCGATTCGTTCCACAACAGCAACAGCGGTGCGGGCATCGGGTGCAGATGAGGTGGCGGAGGTGCCAGTGGAGGGGGAGACACGGAGGCCGGGGTTAGAGATAAGAGCGGTCTGATCGGTGAGGTAGGCGACAAGGTGTCGCACCTCCTCTGCACTCTCGCCCCTTCCTTCCTCAGTTCCTGCTCCAACAGTCGACGACATTGAGTACGCAGCGAGATGTTCGAAGGGACGCATGAAGGTACGTGGCGGTAGATACACGGTAGTTGAGCCTTTGAACGTGAAAAAGAAATACAATAATGCTGTGAAATTGGAGGTGTTTCCTGTTGTACAACATTTACAAATACTTTTTGACGATCGTATTAATAAGTCTGGCAGTCGTTAGACCAAGGGACACACAAAGGATGCCTAGACAACTTCATAAGGTTTTTACAGTTCCACGAATCACCCACCGAAGGTGAGATTTGATGGGTCAAAAAGATTAATAAAAAATTTGAAGTTATGTTAGGATAATAAAACGTCCAGATTCGGCGGTGTAAAGACTCACTGAAGGTAGCAAGTTGGCGAAGGTAGAGACAAGCTTGATCACGTTTGAATAAATCCAGTCGATGGTACCAAGAATCAAAAGGTGGAGCTAAATGAAATGAATGACTTGTTGAAGTGCTTGACTCAGCACGGATACTGGTAAACTACTTATTTGACTTTCGAAAGAGAGAAAAGAAGGTAAAGGTTATGGGCAAGCAAAGTACCATCCCACTAACTGATAATCCATTGAAATGATGACAGTTTGCAGCATTCAACAGTGGTTTGCAAAGTGGCAATTAGTCATGTGTGACACTTACTGATTTCAACCAACTGACGAGGTGGTGGAGCATCCAATTGATGCATAGATCGCATCACAAGAACAAATTGTGTGTCGGGGTCAGTAATACGACGCCACCGATATGTGATCTTGACGTGGTTCATGCGGTCACCGTAATGGGGAGGTATTTGACCTGTAGAGGGAAGTAAACTCCCGACCCGCTCAGACCAAACTCCTGTGGTCTTGATTTTTGCTAAGGTCTCTGAATCCTGAGATTGGGAGAGAAGAGGTTTCAGTTAATTAGCCTTGAGTGATGCGGGTTTCTAAAAGCGTTAGAATTGCCTTCTCCTTTGCTCACACATCTACAGGAGATAAAAGGCCTTCTTGCATGTTGGGTCATGCAATAAAAAGAGTAAGAATGAGATGTTCCGTCGGATGTCAACCATAATGTCCTGATGAGGTACTAGTAACTCACAATCTCTACGGAAAAGTTAACAGTTCCATTGATCTCCCCACGTAGAATGCGGGGCAGGATGAGACTATCAAATCCAGGCGTTCGCTCCAAGTATCGCACGTCAATATGAATGAGAGGTTCCTGAAAAGCCGAAGAACGCTGAAAGGCTTCCTCCGTAGAGACGGCTGTGGAGGATCGTCGTGATCGTGCAGCAGAAGAGACGGAGGCAGGGACGGAGGGTGTGGTGAGAAGGTCTCGAAGACCTCCGGGATGGTAAACACTTAGACCGGAGGTGGCATCGAGAAGGAAAACAAAGCTGGAGGCAGGACTACCGCCGTAGTGAACAATCTGGTCCAAGAGATCTGCTACATGAAGGTCCACTCCCATTACACCAATAAATGTGTCCTACCAAGTGGCAAAATGGAGTGAGATGGACCAAAGAGAAATCTAAGCGAAACATTTACAAAGTGAAAATATCAAAGACAAGCAAAGAAAATTATTAAAAGCATGAAGCCATGGTTGGTAGGTACTATTTTGTAACATTGACGCTCATGGATCCAAACAGAAACTCTGCTTACACCATCATAGAAGGCCTGGCTAATGCTCATAACAAGTCCTCTGCCTTCCATGTCCTCATAGGGGAGGGAAAAGTAGAGTTTCGACGATGGAACACCAGTGGAAACGGTGTTGTTGTTGTTGTTTTGTGTGTCCCTCTTCGATGCTACCTGTTCATTTTGACTCAACCATACCTCGTAGAAACGACCAACTGTCTCCGCCAGGTCAGCAGTGCGGTTGATTGTGTAGAAATGTCCCGGACGCAGATTTGAAGATTGATATTGCTCCGGATTCGAATGTGTATTCCACCTGGAACAGAATGCGAAAAAAATTAAACTTGAAATTTTGTCTAGAGTACTTGCGATGTTATATTTGTGCAAGAAATCTTGAGATAAAAAGTGATGATATATTTGTAATTTTACTTTGATGCCTAGTAACTGCTAGAGGGATAAGGAGGAGTGCTGCTTCAAAACAATCGAAGCACTTGTCACGACTGTGATCACGTGACCGGTTTGCCTCTTTCAAGTCCTTCGGAGTGTCCTCGTTAATCCGAAAGAAATGCTACATTTCATGACGACTTGACACATAATCAATGGTTTAGATGTTGAACAAATGAAGGCCGAACGACAAAAAAGCAATCGGCTTCAGTAATAGACTTAAAAAGTTGCCAAATCATCCCCAATTCGGCTACTCTACCATCGTATAGTCTGTTCTTGCGTCGAGAAGGTGACCTTTTGACGCATACATCCAACCCTAACAAAGGAAGTAAATCAAAAGCTGAAAAAAAAGGTGACAACGGAAACATGTAAACCGGTTGAATGTGTATTGACACGAGTATTGTGTCAGGCATTTGGGAGCTAAATTCGGTCGGCGCATGATTCACCACTCTCACTCCCTCTCGGCCCTCTCTTTCAGGAATCGGGCGCCTTAGACACACATTTGCACAGGACGGGGAATGCAACGAACATGATGGACGTGAAGCCTCGAAGCATTTTAGAATTATGCTTTGGATAAACTCATTCATTGGCTGAACGGTAGGTGCTTTTTTTTTTCTAACGTATCCAGTGTTTGTGACAAATCCGCTTGTTCACTGGTCATCATTTTTTATTTGAAGGCAGAGCCAATATTGACAATGTGAGGAAAGCAAAGTTAAGTCAACCAAATGGGACAAAAGGTTGTTTAAAATTGCCTAGTCTTTGCATTGCCCAATCGCAGTGAAGGAAACAAGGGAGGAGGAAGAAGAAGGAAGCCTACCGCTTGGCAAGATCGCTCATAAAAGTCTTCTCAAAGAGTACAGTGGCACTTTTCTCCTCTACAGGCATGTAAGTGTTGATGACGACGCGATTGTCCAGACGCGCCTGTTGTTCCGTCACCTGTTGTAATGTGGCGTTCTGTTCCTGCAGATCATCCAGACTGCCACGACTGATGTAAGCAATCATCAGATTGTCTGCAAGGGAACAAAGTGCCTGCTGTAAAATTCACACGGCAATCTACTAAAAATTGCTGCATCTTCTACCTCTGATGTGAACACGACCATGATCTGCATATTTCTGGCCTCCTACATCACAATAAACTGGTGTTTGGACTGTGGCATTGTATTTTCCCACCGATTTGAACGCGACTTTAGCAAAAGCGCACGCGGTAAATGGCAATTCGGAGTAACAATGGCAATGCTTTTAGAACCACAAGTCACAAAGCATCATGTGAAGCTAAACCGGTTCACTAATGGGTGACTTCAGACTAGTGCAGAAGGCTTTGGTAAGCCAAAATCCAGCCTAATTTGACTGACATTTAAAGGAAGCATTAGACTGAGTAAGAGTCATCACTTAGTTACCCGTGGACGTCCAGGTAGCTGAAACATTTAAATGGATTGATCAATTTCTGATGCAAAGTTTCCAGTGATGGAGAACTTACTGGTAGGTGAGCCAAGTCCAGCTATTTCTGGAGGGTCATGCTTCTGAATCTTAACAGCATCATGAAGGATTCTGAAAGCCTCCAATAGAGCCCGGGTGTGATTTGTCTTGGCAATACCGGAGCCTCGAAGACCGTAGATGTGTTCGGCGAGAAACTGTGGAGACAATGATAATGCAGTTCTACTTTAAAGGTACTAAGAGTGATCCTCAATCAACTAAGATTAACTTCAATGCATAGGCGAATCCTCCTGACCGGATTGGAGCAATAAAAACAAGTCATCAAAAAGCAACATTGTTGTCCGAATCATAATCAGGCAAGGGACTGCTAACTGCCATAAACCAACCAATTGAGCTGCATTTACGAAAACGAGAATCGCTCCTTCCAAGTGTATGTAAAAGGTGAAGATCGTAGTACTCCATCAGAGGCAAAAATCATGCGTTTTAAGATGCTAACGCCACCTTAATCGGGAAGAAGCTTTCAAGACCACTAAAGTGGCAAAATAAAGGCGAAATTCGCATCGTTGCAAGTATTAATTGATCCTCTTGTAAACGGAGGCCAAAGTTAGAATCAGACTGTCACAGACTAGCCAATCAGAGCAAAATTTTAATAGGGGCGATGAATAGACACGCCACTAAATTTGAAGACTTTAAAAGACTGCAAGAGACGAAGCCAAATAGATGTGAAATCCAATTTTCAGGTGCGCCTTCAACAGGAGAGCATTAGTAGGTGCCAACAATTGCATCTAGATCGTTGTTAAGTATCTATGGTCTTTAAAGCCGGTGGCAGACAATATTCAAAAGGCTACGAGTAATTGTAGCCACAGAGAGCACACGATCGAGCGCACTAGCAGGTACTTGCCATCCAGGTCGAAAGTATTGTCTTAAAAGAGGAGAGTGATCACTGCTGGATAAGTTGACACAAACACACCAGCTTAGTTTCGTGAGTAGCAGGGCGCAAGTGAATAGCAGTTGCGTCGGAAGGAGTCGCTCCGACTGTGGCAACGCGAGCAGTGTCGGAAGCAAGGACGAGGGCCACCCGGTCCTTTTCGCTGAGCGATGCAAGAAGCAGACGAGCAACACGTTGACCCAGCAGCATCTGCGTTTTGCTCACCTCGCTTTGATCAAGCACCAACACCAGCCATATCGGTTGTGACACCACTGACCGCACAAAGACGTCCCTAATTGGAACAGGATAGATAACAATTGAATGACATTAGGTGATATGAGGAGGTGCATCTTGCTACTATTATTGCTGATCTGAGCTAAACGTCAATAATTAGCATATGTTAAGATTTACGTTGCAAGAGTTCAGTATCCCACAGATGGGAGTAGGGATGTTTTACCGCGTGCATCGTACGCTGGGAAATTAAAATAACTATGATTTCAATCAATTATTTCAATAGTCAGAAAAGCTGATCTATAAAAGGCGGAATTTCAAAGGGTAAAAAGTGCATAAACTGGCACATAAAAAGGAAAATACTTGTTTTTAGCAGTCATGCTTTAATTGAAATTGAATCTGATAGCATCGCATGCATAGACTACAATTTACGCCATGCACTGCCAACAATTGAAGCTCTTACCGATGCCGCAGCTGGTGCACCGATCTGCAGTCATAGAGAGCAGTAAGCAGTGATGGTAGCAGATGTCTCCTAGCCCTCTGCTTCACTTCCACCGCCGACCACCCCCAATTCCCCAAAGTCGACGACGGTGATTGCAGAATTGGTAACGGCGGTGGAGGTGGCGGTGCCGCGGCTGCAGCAGCAGCAGCCGCAGCAACGGCCAGTGACTCAAAGAGAGCTGAAGTGACGGTGGCAGCACGAAAGTTGTGAGCGGGAAATTCGGTGTGAAGGCCGGCATCAGTGATGAAGTAGAGCCACTTCACGTTGGGCCAGTATTCCAGCTGACGACGAAAGCGCTGAGTCAAGTTGTGACCCGGATTAAATGCTTCCACAGGCAGGTTAAAAGGAATGAGGTCACAGCACTTTCGACGAGACACACGCGCACCATACAACGCCTCGTAGCTGAACGATCAAAGTAAAATGGCATTAATGCGCAGTAATTAGGTTTACGTGGACTGCATCTTTACATATCATCACGTAACATAACTGTTGTTAAACAATTAAATATGGATAAAATACGCAATCTAAATTTGCCTAGATGACTTAGGGAAAGAGTATCACAAAAGAACAGATAAACTAAGGACCTAGAACCTTTCCTGAGGAATTCAGCAATTATTGGAAAAATTAGTTCTCGAATATGACAGAGGAAGATTTGCATACCGTAAGTCACGTTCAGAAAGATTACAACAGTCGAATCGGGGAGAGATCTGAGATATTTTGTGTTCTCTGTGAAGCTGGATCACCAGGGCTTGCGGATTGGAGACTAGGTGGCCATAGTGACGAAGACGGAGGGAAAGTTGATCAACAAGCTGCAAATATAGCACTACTTTACTCAAGTTAAGCAAAATATGATGGCAGAAAGCCGCAGTCTTTGATCTACCGAATCAAGATCCCACTTGGCAGAGTTTTCGGGCTTTGGCTCGTACTCCAGCCGATCAAAAGCAGCTTGCATTGTCATTGTGCCAAGTTCATCACGAGCCAATTTGGAAAATTCGTTCGCCAATATAGAGGCGAAAGAAACAACTTCAGAACCATTTCTTACCTACAAGCACAAGACAATTGGTTGACTAATATTATTCATTACGAATCAGTAAATCTGTTGCGATTTCGTTGTTCGAAGGTTTCGGCATCAAGGCACGCAAGAAATAATGCGCATAAATCAATACTTCAGTGACTACCAAAGACGCAAAGACTACAAAGCAAACCTAGAGATGGAAAATAACCCATTCATCATTGCAATACAACTATCGAAAAGATGTAAACTTTTTTAAGTTACATCCCATTTCTCCCTGATTTAGCCCATCATCCGAAACATAAACGTTTTAAACAAAACGCAAGTTTGTGATAAGATCAATTGACATTCAATGCCAAGTAATTTAAGTAAGCACAAAACATACCCTACTTGCCGAATTTCCCGGAGAAACGTGGATCCAAGAGTCCGCGTAAAAATTGGAATAGAATATCACCAAAACCACCAACACCAGCCTGGTTACACAATCAACCATCGTTAAAAACGAAAGTAGAGTGCATTAACTACTGTCAACTGTCCAACACATGTATCTGGCTTGCAGTCAACTGACCTCGCTTCCGGACATCATAGCGAACCACAATGTTAATTGGCTAAGTAGGTTTATTTCATTGTGCATTGGCGTCTGTTGTTGGAACAAACAAATCAAGGTCATTAACTTTCTAATAGAGATATAAATCGACAGTTGATCATATTTGCTCCATAAGTAAGATAGTTTAAACGTATTCTTATTAATGTGTTTTAGATACCATAAAAATACAACTATTAGTCATAGCTACAGGTCTGTCGAAAATAATGATCATTTTATTTTTAAAAATACATTACTTGTGTATTTGACATTTATGGCATAGCACGTCATCAAATTAGATCCTGCGGCAGTGTAGCGTCCCGAGACTTCCCACCGGGTGGAAGAAGGCAGTAAGTGTGGCTGAATACATGTTCTCCAAAGAAAACAAGACGACTAGGCCTAAGCATGGCCCGAAGGTCAGCCCACACGCATAAGGCCCTGAAAAATCCTAAAATGACCACCAAACGTTAGGCGGTTACATAAATTATGCATTACAATGGACTCCAATTATTCCACAACCAAAAAGAGCAAACAGTATATAAAATTCGGTTTTTACACGAACAAAATCAACAAATTCTGCTATATAAAAAGAAGCATTAGCAATAGTGCAGCAAAAGTCATGCCAGATGTCTTGATTTGATCCACAGAATTGCATCCGTCTCTGTCCTGGCAATAGCAGACCTCGTGATAAACACCTTGATCATCGAACCAGTAGCGACAGCCTTTTGCTACTCCTGTAACTCCGAAAAATTTCCCTATGAAAACCTTACACTGGAAATTGTAAAGAAGAGGCGAGTAAATTAGCACGCACCATAGTCAGTTCTTGCTGCACAGCGTCGAGTAATTTTAATCCAACTGAACCAACCAGTGCTCTCCTGATAGATCTTAATGCAGAAGGTGCCCGGAACACGCGCCTGAAAGCTGCCGCAGTCCACTAGTGCGTTTAATCGAGGTTCAAAACGACGACTCGCTGGACATGTTTCGTCCTCATTGCTATCGCACTGGTAGCACAGGATGCCAGAACCTAAGGGATAATGAGACGTCAGAAATAGGTAATGGGTATTCATGGTCAGCTGCAGCGGCGACTAATCGGACAGAATTTGTCGAATGCGCCAATGAACTCACTCACATAGCGGGCCTAATCAAGATCTTTTAGGTTTAATGAAGCGACATCGCATTAAATCCGATGTTGCTAAATTTGGCTCAATTCTTCACCTTAAAACAAGCGCACATAGTAAACAGTAGTATAGGTTAAAGGAGTTGGATATGTAAGCATGAGAACACAAACAGAAAGCGCTGCTCATGAATGCAACTCGGCGGGTGAAGTAGAGAGGATTTATTGAAAAAAAAGGCCTATTCACCACTACTGCGCTCTGGAATGGGAGGTTAAAGTACTGTACAACCCAATTGCTTTCATCCAAACCAACCGAGAAGTGGGGGAATTGGATTCCCCTAAGGTATGAGAGGTTCATTCTTGACCGATAACACCCACTATAGGTCCATTTTATGATTTGCCTTTGTTTGTTACGAATTAGCACAAGTCCCGCTAACGACCTTTCAATCGCCACTAATCTTAACTTCCACCATTCTATTTCTGCCAAGTAGTTATTTTTGATCGGTCTTCAAAATGAGTTTAGGCGCCTCCGCAGAACCTATTTGAAATAGTTCTTGAAATCGTATTATATCCTAGGAAAAATTTCACGACTGGCAAAGCACAGGTAGTACTGAGAGTTTATGTACGCGTAAATCGTAGCATATATTAACGTGTTTAAGCTGGATTTTAAAGGGGAGAGGCGGAGAAGCGTATCAACACGCGTCCAAATCGTGATGAGCGTGGAAAGACGCTCTCAGGATGACATCGGCTTTCCGTCTCACCAATTCTTTCCCCCTTCATTTCCTTCTTTTCTGTGCATGATGCATAATAAAGCTTCCTCAACCATTCCTATCGTGAAGTTCAAGTCTTAGGAACTGAAAGTAGACAGGCAGGTCCTCCTCAATCTCTAACAAAAAGCAATGCTTTGAATGGGTCTTGTGAGCCTCTCAGTCTCCTCCGGGCAGACTTTGCTGCATCTACTAGAATATTCTACCAAAGCTTAATAAAACTGAACGGGTTTTTTGGGCAGAAGAAAGTGCTATGCGCAAAATTAGTTAGCGAGTCTTTTCCCTCTCAATGAACGCTGACAGTTGCAAAAGGGATGCGCCAAAATTGTTTTAGCTCGAACTGTAGATCAAGATTGGTTCTACGAGGATGAGCAACCGTTCAAAGCAATTGAAAAGACAATTACAAAAGCAAGCGCAAATACCGGTCTAAACTGATTATGAGAGCTTTCCTAGAATAGGGGAGCTGTGTCCGCAGTAAATCCACAAAAAAATGCACTAATTTAACTTGCCTTTACGAATGAGAAGAGCCAGTAGTGCCAATGAGACTATCAGAGGTCGCATTCCAGGTGAAGCACCCTTGTCGCCATTACACCCAGTTGGTCACATCGCCCTCAATGTAGCAACGGTTGTGTTTACTATGCACGAACCTCCGCGGCCATTGGTCCACCTCGCCAATGCTTGACTACTGGTTTAGTGGTGGCCTAACTAAAGCAAGGCTTAGAATCCTGATTAGGTCCCTAAAATTGGAACAATTGACTTTAAAACCTCCAAATTGTTCAACAATGATACCGAAATTTCGGAAAGAGTCCGTATTTAGCCAAGCTTCTCACCATGGCGTACCACTGTTGGGGGCTTTATTTGAATGCAGAAGTTGTGATTCCCAACTTGCACCTCAGCTCTGAAGTTTGTCATGGAATTAGGTCCGAAGGTGAAGCGCACAGAGTTACGCGTCGGCATCCTTGATGCCGAAGCTCGATATCTTGGTCAAACAAACACCTGTCTGGAGCACCACTGTGCTCCGCTTACGTCTCCCCTCTACCTCCATTTAACGGCGAACAGTGCTGCTCTGTTGAAAGAAACTATTACGACTGTTTCATCCCGAGCACAGCCATTCACCAAAATGTGGAAATTCGTAGCACCTTCGAGGTGGTAACGCGAAAGCAGTGACTATTGTAATGCCTTGTTTATGCGACCACCTGACGTTTGGCGGTCACTTCAAGATTTGTTTGGTCATTGTACTCATGGGCTGACCTTTGGGCAAGGCTCAGGCCTAGTTGCTTTGTCCTCTTTAGACTACGTGTATCCGGCTTCACTTGTTGTCTTCTTCCACCTGGTTGGAAGTCTCGGGACGCTACAACTATAACCAAATCGTCAATGTTATTTTTGAGTCGGCATCAGTTACTGCAACAAAAGCCTACCTATAGTAAAAATCAAAACGATGACAGACAAGAATGGCCGCAATTCCGGCATACTGGAGACATCCTTAAAGCATGGCAAAAGTTGTGCTTGTCTCAAGCCCAATCCACTAAATGATGCTCCTCGTTCATTCGATTCCAAATGGAATTGAGCTCTCTTCAGTCTACTTTTCTACGTCAGCGAACAGAACTGATCCTAAACCCTACCGCAAGCTAGCGAGAAATCCCACCACCACGGTTGCATGTTGACCCAACACGTCTTACGAAAATTTGACGGTAGAACTACCGTTCCTACTGACCTATATAAGTAAAATTGGTGTCTACAACGTCACAATCTCAGCATTCCTCATCAGTGAGCTGACTTAATGAATTTAAATATTGTGGCCCATGAAATTCACAAAGCGGAAGAACTTAAAAAGAAGTAAAAGGTGACGCTTGGCGCAGTTTTATGCAATGCAGAAGGGCAGAGACAGGTGGGTGAAAAAGGAGGAAGACAGTGCTTTCAAGGGATAGTGGCCAGGTAATCCTTTATCTCAGAGGGCTGCAGAACGCGAAAACCCTTCTCATTGCAAACGGCGATCTCGATGTTATTCTCGGTCATCTGACCCTCAAAACTCTCCTTCAATGTCAGAATGGCCGCGTGCACCGCATCTTCCAACTCTAATTTATCATTGTACCTGGTCAAAAATGCAACAGAGAAATTGTAGGCTAGATAAAATTTAGTAGATCAGTAGAACGGAAAAACTCCAATAATCCGTATCTTATCATTTGGTAAAGCACGACGAGTAAATGTCCCTGCAACTAAATTTTTAAAATAAGTATTTAGTTTGATAGAGTTGAAAACATGTTCGGTTCAGTTCTTACAGCACAAACAGGGGTGAGGAGTACTACGCAATGACAAAATTGTGAAGAGAAGTCTTATAAAAGCTTAACGAGAAACAATAAATACGCCCAACATTTTGATTGTTTCTAGTTGATAAAAACAAACTGTTCAACCTACCGCTTCTCAAGAAAGTTTTTGCCATTCAACGAATTTTTACCCAATGCAGTGGCTTTCCATGGGAAGTAAGTACCCTAGACAGAAAAGTTATGCAAATAAAAAAACTAAACCGACCAAAGTAAGATTATTCAATCTGCATAATAGACAAAAAAATGATCGACCTAGTCTTGCTAATCCACCCGTTCGGAGAAAAAATGCGACAATCAGAACTCACAGAAGGATCACACTGGTAAAGGTAGGCTCTATTTGAATTGTAGTCCCAGCCAGCAATGAGAAGGGATACACCGAATGGTCGTACACCACTACAAAGTGATAGTCACATGGATGCCAGTTATAGCTAAACATCCCCACGACTGGATGCTTTCAAAGTTCAGGTTGCATTGACTGCATATTATAAGGGAGGACTGCATAAGTTTTACTACAGGTAGCCATGCAAGCTGAATACACCTGAATAGTGGTACAAATACTAGTTCAAGACTTCTGATTAAGAACCAGTTAACTGGCAGCTAGCAATGAAGGAAACGCACCCTGACTGCGTATATTCTTGCATAACCGCAGCGATGCGGGTAACTAATTGCTCAGGAGAAATGGATTCATTGTAGGCCAGCTGGTAAGCTTGCGCAGATTTCCGGGCTTGTTTTACAAGGACTCTATAATCTGGAGACAGTCCACTGTACACCATCCCCACCGATTTTGTCACAGGTTCAATGCGGGAAATTGAAGCCTCATCGATCAATTCCGAATTAAACTTCTTCTCCACCGCCAAAACCACACCGTTAGAGGCACGTATCCCAACAGACGGAGCGCCACATTCGGCAGCCTTCAATGCATATTCAATTTGAAGTAATTTACCGGATGGACTAAAAAAAGATTACTCGCTATGAAGCCCACCTAAATGTCGTCAGAGAAAAGCTGTACCTCTCCGTCATGACTAATCCAATTAATCACAAGGATCCCACTTCAGAGGCGGCGGCTAATCCAGAACCACTATAAACAAAATAAGTCGTCTATGAAAAATGATATTACCAATGCAGCTCGATGCCTTTGTCAGCTCAGTCAAGTTTTTAGTCATTTTGGCAATAATAATCAAATTAATCACTACCTATTCGGCGTTCTGAAGTCGGTCTTGGTCTTCTCTATGTCAGAAAAGCATCAATTCTGTAAATCTTTTTTGGTTTCTTTGAGCCCAAAGAGTGCATTTGCAGAGGTCATCCACAAAAATGTGTGAAAGCTTTAGCGTTTGCCAACTTCCTTAAAGACTTGAATGCATAGAGCTTCGGCAGAATGAGATCATGGATATCTTTATGGCGCCCCGAGATTTCCCACTAGGTGAATGCTGTAGTTACTGCCTGCCTACCCTCTGGTCCCTGGTTCTCAGACTATAAGAGAAAGTTGGCAGTAGACGATTTATTAGGCATCGCTGTTAGGAGGGATGGGGAATAGGATAAAGATGAGCTGAGTAAGAGATATCAATCGGAGGGAGGCTCTTCGCCGACTTCGCACATGTGATCCACGTTCCCAATTGGTTACCGCCTCTCACCTATAAAGGTCCACTTAAACAAGTTAGAATATATTATAAACTTAGGCATTACTCTTAATAGAATATGGTTATTCATAGAGAAGTAGAAGGGACTGGTTTTGGGTTTGATTCGAATGCCGGGCGATTACCGGAATAAACTTTATGCACGGTATTTTATGCGTAGTGAACGGAAATAAAATCAGATCTTTGGTATGGCCTTGAGGACACTCATTCTAGTCCCTTTGGTGACTGTTATCGAAATTGCCAAACACTATGCGGAATTCATCTTGTTTAGAGCACTATAAGCAAAGGCAGGCGGGAATTAGTTATTTTACCTCCGATTCGCATTAGTACCATCTCAAAACTCTAATCCGACAGAAAACCGTTTTCCTTCCACTCCACGCAAACTCATAACGCCACATCGCTGCAAATTTCATGTTGTCAGTTGTTAAAATCTCTATGAACAAAAAAGCATGCACCCTCACTTTGCTTTCGGTCCGACACCATATGTTGAAAGCATAGGCGTAACACTTTGTTTGTGCGACCACCTGATGTCTGGCGGTTACTTTGGTATTCGTCTGGCACTTGAAAACTTGGGCTGGACTTTGGGAAAATCTAAGGTCTAGACATTTTTTCGCCTTCTAGAATATATGTATTTAGCCCAACTTAGTTCCGTATTTCCCCTCGAAGGGGAAGCCTTGATGTGCTGCGGTGGATTCTACGATGTCTAACCAATGTTGGCATAAAAAATATATTGTCCTCAGCTTAGATGAATGGCGTTTTGTTGCAGATTCATACGCTCTAATTTAAGCGCTTTTGGATTTTTGGGCTCTTCCAGAATCTATTTTTAGTACTTACTAGCTACGCCAACTTTCTTAGATTTCAACTGATGTTACTCATTTGTAACAAATGAGATTTTCACTTGACCAATGCAATGTTTTGATTGTTAACAACCTATAAAACTAAAAATCCCTTGAAAAGAGGGGTGGTAGATAGAAAAGGTTTCTGATAAATACCCGCCTTACCTTTCACTTAAATGAATCTTTCTACGAGTTTTAATGACAACTCGAGTGCCATGCACGCCATCCCAGTCAGTAGACGACAGCGTTCACCGCTTGGCCGTTTGGCCGCATCAACACTGCCATGCTGTACCTCCACACCCCTATGCAGACCGTCTTTAGCGTCTGCATGGGAGTGCCCCTGTCCATTCTCAGTGCAGGAGCCAATTTCTTCAACCTCTACCTCTTACACCATGACGGAGTCAGCGCTCGAGGCACTCGTCTCCTCCTCATCAGTGTCTCCAGTACCGAAACCATTTTCTTTGTCTTTACTGCCATCTACTGTGTGCTTAAGATGTTCTACTTCAAAACTTTTACCCATCGGCTTAGCTCTGCCCTTCTCTTCTACTTCCCCAACATCTTCTAGCTAGTTCGTAACAGGCTTCTCGTTCTTCTGAGCATGGAACGTCTTCTGCACTTCGTGATGCCTTTGGAATTTAGGCGAATTTGGTCACGCGAAATTGTCACTTTTGCTGTCCCCTGATTGCCATTTTTGCTTGCTTCGTGCGTCTTTTCAGTCTCATCTACAACCTGCACGATGAGATAACGACAATATCATTGTATCTTGCTCGAGCTGTTTACTTGGGTCACCTTCTGGTGGAGTGCGTTCTCCTGGCTCTTCTACCCGAGTGTATAATGATTTGTACGTCAGTGACCACTACCGTACTTGCGAAGAGGTGGATCCGGAAAAGGGGCAAGCTAGGCAGATATGAGTTCCCCAAACAAGCGCGTATTTTGAGAGTTTTAAAAAGACTTTCTTAACCTTTTTCGTTCTATCGCTACCCACGGTGCCGACAACAATTCTATTCTTCTGCCTGGGCTTATCAGGCAAACAGTTAACTCGGAGAATGACTTTACTGCTGGACGGACTGGCAGCTCTAACAAATTTCTGCTCCCTCCTTAATTGCACCACACATTTCTTCATCTTTGTAGGACATTCATCAAGGCATCGAACAATCCCAACGGAAGTAATCAGCCGAAAACGGTATGCGAAGATGTTGTGGTGTAAGAAATGTGGAAGTGCGAAATGACTGGTGGTGAATTAAAAGTCCTTACACTCCTAATGTTTTGTGCCTTACAAATGGATTCAGTGAGTTGCGGTAGCTCCTGACTGCTGCATTTTCGTGATACCGGTTGGGGCTCCTGGAACTGGACTAAGCGGACTGGAAGGGGTTGAGATTAAAAGTCCCCTTTTCCTTTTTACCAGTTGTTGTGGGGCCAGAATACGCCTTTAAGCATTGCCATTAAGATGTGTCAGTCAGCTTCACTTATCCTGCTTTCTCGTATCTCCGGAAGGCTTACATCCACTGTCATTCCCCCCCTTCCTTCTCCTCAGAAATACGAAGCAGTAGGGTAAGGGTAGACTTTGTTTTGTCGACGCAAAATAGGTCTGGAGAACAGCAAGATGGCTTTAAAGGCCAGACCTCTCACCAGCGGTACAATGACTGAGCCCTTAAGTGATTCTTTTGCCTAAGCCGAGAGTCAAAAAGCCATTAGCCCATTCCACCGCGCGTTGCGATGATGTTGAGGTTGGCCGCATGCTCCACAGGGATGGTTTAAACAATTAACCAAAAATAATTATACGGTTGTCGTGTTGCACTACAATACTTTATTGTCAAACAGTACAGCGGCTGATCAAATGCGAACGGAATATCTGGACCAAACCCAAAACCGAAGTTAATACGACGGCTCTCATAAAAATTCTTTTGTATATTCACTTTTCGTGCCTTGCTTTTCAATTAGGGTGGGCTCGAACTGCCTCTTATCGGCAGGAAAAGAAAATTACTTGAGTTGGGTTGCTGCATCCCACCCTCTCCCGCCTCCATCGTTGCAAAGCCACTAAATCTAGTTGCGTGTGTTTTTCGAAGAGTAGAATTCGCCGCCCTTCGCCTTTGAGATGCCTTGAATAAAGTCTAGTGTAGTCGATCTTTGCCTTTTACGCATGAAATCGAGTGTATCTACGGCTGCGCTATGCCATACTTAAATAGATCTGGTAATTGTTGACTTTTAAGCAGATACGTGTCGACAGACAAGGTACTTTGGCTCTAATTACTTCTAATGAATAACTTTGAGTTCAGCATTAACCAAAAAAAGTTGTGACCATTTGAAGCAGCAGTTGAATTAAAAGCCCCCTTTTCAACCAGGCTTTAATGTCCTCCTAACCTACTTTCAACGACGATTTACAAAAAAGAACTTTTAAAAAGCCTCAATAGCCCTTTCTAGCGTAAATGTTTTGCATGTTGTGAGAAATATCCCCTCACCCTTTTGTGATAAATTGTCCAGATACTCGGACATTCTCAGTCTGACAAACCGTCCATTTCTGCCTTCTGATTGGCTACTTTCAAGGACGTCTGAGAGCTTGGTTATTGATTTGCCACCATGTGGGGCGAGTTCATTAAAAGGGTAAGGGAATCGTGTGGAGTCGAAGGCTGCGAGAAACCAACAATTTTACAAACTCATTAGGACGATGGCTTGCTGTCGACAAAATAAAAAGGCCGCTTACATCTATTCTAGCCTCCCAGTTGTCCGGGGAAATGTGGGCGCGTGAGTGAGGCATTCTAGACGCTGTTCATGATAAGCGACATATTATCCTATAAAGATGCGTATATTTCGTTACACAGGAATCTTGCTATCACCATTCTGGACGGGAATGAGGATGATGATGTGACTAGAAGCTCGCATCTTCTACGAAGCGTAAAACGACGACGGAAGGATGATAAACCACCCGGGATGAAGCTGGTTCCCACTCGACCTAAATTCGGTGATGCTTCTAGCGCTGAGGATCGCGGTGTGTACTTATTCCTTCCTGCCTATCATTGATCAGAAGTGATTTGGCGCCATCTTAAGTGCATCGTCACCCGCATCTGGCATTCTATGGACTGTCTTCGGCATTAACAACTTTCTAATCCATTTTGACAACTTCGCCTAAATCTCTGTTAGGCATATTGTGTATTTTAAGAATTCTTTTGCCAATACCTCTATCTCTCTTAGTTGTGCCGTCGATGGGCAATTGGGTAGAAACCAATGAACAACCACCCTTATTGTCCGCATTGTCATGCTTGTCTGTGCTCCTCATCAAGCACTTGGCTGATTTTTCCTCGTTACTGAGGCACGATGATCACCAGTGCCTCCTTGATAGAGATCGAGCTATTTTATAAGTCTCAGTTCCGAGAACTGTAAATAATGGTCTTGGGCAGAATCTCATAGCGTGTGTGTGTCTGGTAATGCCGTGTTGTACACAATGAGTCATGTTAGAGAGGAATCTGAAACTGTTCCCTATTGCTACAGTGGTGGAGGCGAATGGAAGGATATCAATTCACACTCAAACTGGTCTCTACCTCTTTGAAATCTCGGATGTTATCGAAACCGATGACTATGGGGTTCAGACGGAACAGTTCATTGACAGACCAATGTCACCAGTGATTGAATTCGTTAAAACCGGAATTGATTTCACCACTCAGACAGAACCGTGGGAGGTATGTCCTTCGTCAGAGGTTCCGCATTGACTAAATAATCTGTGTTGTCACGCTTGTAATCTACAATTTCACCGATCAAGGCCTGTTATAAAACACCAGCTTTGGAATCGTTTTTTAGCTCTTTGATTTCAACACTGAAGTGGTACCTATGCTGGAGGTACTGTTGAACAGAACTATGGAACAGTCATTAATGGAGGTAATGGAAGAGGAAGAGTTGGCCGAGATTCGTGCCAAGCAGGCAGCCTTTGAAGAAGTGCGGGATGCGGAACTTGCAGAAGTCAAGCGATTAGAGGAGCTTAACCGTCGTCGCAGGTTAGTGCGTGTCATCGTTTTCCTTTTAATGGCCGCGGGTATAACCATTTTACCACCTCACATTCATTCTCTTGTATCCATTTGCCCATCTATTCCGTTTTCTACTTTCATTTTGCCAATCACTCATGTCTATCACCGCTCTGCTGCAATGTTAAGGAAGTATTGTAGTCCTCTTTTTCGTGCTTAGAGAGGAACAGAAGCGAAGACGGGAACAGGCTGAATACGCGGCGATAATGAAACGCCAGACAATTGAGAAGATTGCAGCCCGCAGTTTTGTCAAGGGCTACTTGGAACCTCTATTGCCTAACACTTTTGAGCTGCTTACGGCACGCGGCTTCTTCTACGATGACGTTCGACTGGGTGAGTAATAATTCTATTATTAACTCCTCAAAGAGGGTCGTGTTGTCTCTGAAGGTTGTGCAGCGGTGCAAACGATGTAAGCGAAGCAATGTCAAATTCCAAATTATTCAGGAACTAATAATGAAGCGGCTATTAACGTTTACCATATGCCTGCCTTGCAGTGTAGTTTATAAGCTCTACCGTTTTTTTTCTTCTTTCGTAGAACTGGAAGTAAACTTCATTGACAACATCGTGGAGAAGGCAATGGACATGTACACACTCGAGTTACGGGGACGTATTATTGTTGATGGAATCATCAGAGAGGTAGGTCCACATCCAATGATTGCGATTCATTGTTTAACAACATTCTTTACTAAGATCGAGAGTGACTAGAACTTCGAGCCATTGTAGTGAATGTAATACTTTGTTTATGTGACTACCTAACGTTTGGCGGTCACTTTAGGATTTGTCTAGTCCTTGTACAAGTGGACCGGCCTTCGGAGCATGCCCAGGCCATTTGTCCTGTCGTCTTCAGAATCCATGTATACAACTGCACTTGTAGACTTCTTATTCCGGCCAGGAGATGGTACAGTGGTATAGTGAAGGTCGCCAAAATAAAACCTTATTTTCCGACATTATTGAATCTACTTTCCCGACAGACAATGCGAAACAGTTTATGTAATTCGTAATGCCAGTGTCTTCTGTTCCAAGGCAGTCAACAGGCGCCACACGGAGTACCGAGATTTAGGCCGTGAAATCGCGACCGAGGCGATAATGGAAAAGGTCGTGCCAGCTCTACGTACCCGCGTTTCCGGGGCCTTTGTCGAAACGATGATTGACTTCTCCATCGAGAGAATGGAAGTTACAGCGGCGGCGCGGAGACGTGTGCTAAGGAACGTAACCAGTGATGTAATGGATGAGATTATAAATGAGGCTGTGGGGAAAATAATGACTAGAATGGCTGAAGAAAATGTTGATGGATCAAATTTCGTTGATGTAAGCAAAGTACACTGCTTCTCTGTTGTTGTTCATTCTAAGAGACAATACTCTTCTTCACTAAATGTATTTCAATATGAAATTAGGCTTTGCAATTCACTCTGCCATTTCAGGATGCTTTGTGAATACGAAGGCACAGGATTCACTGGATGAAATCGGTTGGTGGAAGCAGTTGATAACTTCGAATAACAGACCTGATTTATCAAATGCAGATGTACTTGCACGATCATACGAATTTTACAAAAATGATTGGGGTAAATTTTTTTCATATATAGGAGCGGGGCGTAGACTAAGCTTCAGGAAGGTAAGATCATCAAAGGTTGCCTGTTTTTAGCATCATGTCCTGCAATTAAAACAATAGTTGTGGTCACCCAGTAAAGAGGGCAAAATAGCAGTCTGCCGAAACTAATAAATATTTATTTAATTAACTAGATATCTACAATGGCATGATGTGCTCCATTGTCACTGCATTTCTGAAAGACTCTTTATCTTACTCGATGATCAAGAAAACAAGGAGGGGCGCGGGGTTTGTATTTTGCTTTGTGCGGTGTACCATGAGGGCGTTGGCGGAATGGATTAGTTCAATCTTGGATGAACCCGTTACCCATATTGACGAAAATTGTTTGCTCAAAATGCTAGACAAATGGTAGGACTGTAACATATGTATACTAATTGGTAGCTCGCCGTGTCTATCTCCATCTAATTCGTCGATCGAGAAGGTTCGAAATTTTCTTGATGGTTTGTTGTTTTGCGCACATATGACCTCCTAGGCGTTTACTCATTTCCGGCCCATGAGATTGTGTGTTGGGATAGGTTATTTGATGATTGTACAGAGTGCGAACTCGTGAGTTCAGTATCGGCAAGCTTCTGATACCTGTAGGTTGCTTTTTTGATAATTGTTGGGGGAATGCAAACCCAATCAGCCAGCCATTTCGTCGATGCCGCTCTTGCTCTTAATGATGACGTACAATTCGCAATCTACGCCATAATTCAGGACCCTATGACTCAGATAGCTAACGAGTCGCAAATATCGCGGGAGGATATTCTTAAAGTTCTTCAACTGACGGATTGTGCAGTGGAACGTGACTCCTCACCTGACACTGAGCAGGTACTTTGATTTACATTATATTCATGTCAGTCGGACACTGTGGTGCTTTGATTCCCGTCTCTGCCGCTTTCAGGATACTCCTGTAAAGAATGTTGCCACTTCAGATCATGAGAATGGGGTGGATGTCACAGATGAAGATATGCGGTCGTTTACTACCAGCACTCCTGTGTCTCGACACAAACAAGTGAGTAGATCTTCATGTCGATGGTACGGTCCCTGCTGTTATGGGTCCTTGTGGTGTCCTCACGCCAAAATACTGCAGTGTTTTGTTTTGCTTCTCTAGGAAGAACCCAAAAAAAGTCCTCCGCGGCCCACTACATTGGAGGTATCTGAGAGTGTCCAGTTGATGCCGCCGCCGTCACTTCCACCACCTCAGCGCCAGCGCACAGTTTCAAATGATGATAAGAATAAAGTACAGCCCCCAATGTCACCTCTGACTCCCCTTAAAACTCTTGTTGAGTCTCCACATTGGAATGTCAAGGTAATGAAACGCCATTTTTTAACTTTCTATTGCGGTCGATATTGGCCTCTTAGTTATATTCATACAGTTTTCACTAGCCATCCAAGTGGATAATTACTTATTTTCAGTCTCTATCGTGTTTTTGTGTGCATCTTCTAGACGTTTGTAGTGTGAAGTGCAATCACAGACATTCTTTCTGCGAGCATTAACAAAGGTCATCTTAAATATTTTCAGGTTGGTGATTCACTCCTATTCTTGGTTTTCTATCATAGAGGTTTGCGGGAATATCTTCTTTCGCAACTAGGCGTTCCCGTCCTTTGTTACGAAATTCTCCTACCTGTTGAACTAGACAGTTTAGAGTGGCGACAATTTTGATAGGTCTTGCAATATGCATACCGTCTACTCTTTATACACTAAGCAAGATTTGTGCTTGCAAGTTTTCTCTTTTCATTCGATCACCTTTTTCTCCTCAGCAGCCTCCCGACGAAAATGGCCCCACGAGTAAGGTAATACCACACGAATATTATAGTCCTTTGCGGTATAACCCCGGCACCTTTTCTCCCCTCCACCCCTGCTTCCGCACAATAACGCAAAAGTGTTAATCATGTCCCCTTAACACCCCACCTCTTTTTGGGCGCACGGTTATTTTTTGTCGCATGCCTAAATCAGTGTTGTCACTAGTCTGCGGGCGTATGATACAAATTGCCTTGCTGATTTGAGAATTTGGTGATTCTATGTACTGTCGCATTTCTCGAAACCCAATTTCTTTCAAATTTGTTGCATGCACCTTAATTAGCACTCCATTATTCTTATCCCATTTTCCGAGCATTACTCTGTTCCATTTTTTTGTAAATGACTTTGGCGCTTCCCATTTTTGTTTTTTTTTTTGAAATCATAGCTGGCCAATACTCAAAACGTTTTTGCGAATCAGTTACTGAAATCCTTATCAAGGACCAGAATTAAAGTTATCATAATGGAATGTTCACTTTCATCGCACTTTAATCACTTCAGGATGGTTAACTTCCTACGTGTGGTATTTGTTGTCCCTGCCCCTTCGACATTGTTTGCGAAGTCGAGTTGAATAGTGCCAGCTGCACTTTTCTGGTGGGGAAATTGGCGGAATTCCTTCTAACCTTGGTTTTTCAAGATGAACCGGCTCGCATTTTGCAGTCCAGACAACTGTCTGGGTGGCTGCTTTTCTAAAAATGGGAACCTTTCCGCAACATATCACGCTGACTTTCACAGACGTGCTTTTACACAGCTTTACATGCACTTTTTTAAATTTTTTCCATCCGATCTCAGCTCTATAAAATGAGCTTAATTCATATAAGGAAACTCATTTCCTACGATTAAATGTATTTATGTTGTGGATTGGCGTAACTGATGAACTAGGAAATCGGAGGTAACGTTTTTGAGCTCTAACGGCCGTACCACAGAGCATGTAGATCGGTCGTGAAACCGGTCCGGTTTTGCTTACCTTTGGAATTCACATATATTCCTGACCTGTGTTGGGCATGTATCAAACTCCCGTTATTTGATTTTTTTGCGTGTTTGATTTGGCGTCTTCCATAATCTGTAAGAAGGCAGGTATCTTTGTTCCTTCCGATTGTCTCGGTTTCTATTTTGGTTTATTCTCCCATTTCCTCCTACTGGCGAATGATTTACTCCTGCCTGCTTTAATCGACAACTAGTCTTTTTTTGTGTACACTTCTGCATTTAATGTGGAATGATTTTTGAGAGCGCAGTCTGTGCGTTGTAAATGAAGCCAACTCACAGGATAGTAACACTGGTAAACTTTTCTCGTCGAATTTTGGGTTCTGCGAATTCATGTCTTGGTAATATGATTAGAAGAATGTCCCGACTGTTTTATTCCCACAGCCTGGGGGGTTTGTCCGCCTGTATTCTCCTTCACGGAGTTGCTAACTCGTCTATTTGAATTTCCAGTGTGAAAGTAGTGATATGCGCTGTTTTGAAGTCGATCAGGTGGTTAGAGTGCCTGGAAGACGTTTCTCCAAGATCTCCCTTCGATGAAATATTGCCACTATTAACCTACCCTCTTCCGCCATGACCTAGTTCCTCCTTTGTGGCAGTTATCAAAACTGTCGGTGATTTTACCCGTAGTTGTCTAAGGACATAAAAGGCCATCTCTTTGGGTTATGTAGGGTCGGTCAGTCTTGGTGCTTGCTTCTACCTTTGCACGCTACTTTAAAAGGCGTTTTATCTTTATCATTTGTTTTTGCATGGGAGAAAGAGGCATGGGGATCACTGCTTTGCATACATCTCTTTCTTCCCTCTTCACTATCGGGTAATGATGTACCCCTTCTAGTTTGCTATGAAGAACCAGCATTATGACTTTGTTAGCTTAAGTCGGTAATCTCTCTCTCCTGATTTAGAGAATGATCTAACCCTTCCCTGGCTTGGCATCTTCATTCGATTGCAAAAGTGATTTGCATAACTCTTAGTCTTTCTGCTCTCTTCTCCCCCAAACTATACACCTCTCATTATGAATAGATGCGTCTCCACGAGGCGGAGCAGCGGGCGCGTACGTTGGAGCTTGAACTAGGCCGGGTGGAAGCGGAGCGGGATGATGCAGAGGCAGTGTCTGGAGAATTGCGACAACAGCTGTCTGACAGCCTCAAACGCGCCCAATCTGCTGAGGCAGAAGTAGTCCGACTGCGCCGGGAGGTCATCCAACTGCGCGATCAACGGGACGAATTGGTTGAGGCCAAGGCGGAGTTGGTTTTGCAGGCGGAGCGTGTCAAAACGTGCGTTAGTGCAATTTTTTTACTTCGATGAACCCACTCCGTAACTTTTGATACCATTTTTGTAATTACCATATCTTCCTTGTTACTCTCTTAGCGCTGCTGAGAGCTGTTGATTTCTGGTGTATCTTTTATTATGTCCTGTGGCTTTCTTTTTAAGTCAGGATCTTGAGAAGTTTATCTTTGCATCATGTGTGCTCCTATGCTCAACTTTTAAGTCCTGTATTTGCATGCTTATCCCCTTTCTTGAGACATCGAGACGAAATTTCGCTTCCTTTCCGCTTGGGTTAGGTGGTTTATTTTAGATTTATAGTCCATCGTACGGGCTAAAGAATACAGGGCTCTATTTTTGCTTAATATCGCTTGAGTTGCCTTAGTTATTGTTGACAAGAAGGTGAGTACTTAAGAAAAATCAAGCAGTTCCAGTAGAGGCACTATTATCACATTCACTCCATCCTATTATGGTAACACTCCTCCTTCCTAACAGATTTCAATCGACACTGCTTCAAGTTAGTAACTCGTATTGCAGTTGATAAATTTTTAGAACTTATTTAATCGACGCACCAAGAGGTTTCTATGTTTAGCGCATTATACTTCAATCCGGGTAAGTCAGACGCACTACTTGTTCGTCCATTGTGCTGTGGAGATTTCTTGCACTGTGCCCGTCCTGTCTATTTAAGATAATGTTTCTGCTACGTGTTGAGGTAACCTATGAATTGTCATGGTAACCTGCGAACTCGCTGGCCGCTGGGCCATATTCCAATAACTACGGTTCCATAGACTGCACTTTACCTTTGGAGCCATTGTCTACCTAAATTTCCTTTTTTTCTATATCTGCCTTTCATCATCCAGTGGCACAGAAATGAGTGGTGAATCACGACTTTATTTCACGTGAAGCATCTACGCCGCGTCTTAGGTAGATTCTAGAAGCGAAATGAGTTCTTCCTTCGTAAATTGTCGCAG